GGTTGGTCGCACCCTTCTCTGGGTGGGGACCTCCCTGCCACAGGTCATCTGCTACCTGTCAGATGAACCATGCAAGTACAGGCCAGAAACAAAAGCCTGGAAACATGCTGAGAACTTTGAACAGGGGGAAAAAAAATACATACATGTCCTCTGTAAAAGGATCAGAAATAAAAAACTCAACGTTACAACAAAGTCACATGATGCCAAATCCTGAGAACCAGTTGCTCCTGACAGTCTTCCTTAGGAAGGCATCACTTCAGATCCACTAACTTCACCCCAATAAAGCACACTGGCCCCTGGGGTCAGAGCTGATGCCCTGACCACAAAGACCTATTCCTCACGCTGCGCATGTCCAAACCTCGAGGACCCTTAGACCCGAGCATGGTGCCCTGCCTCCTCCACTTGATGCTGCAGGGACCTGTGAGCGTGCCCTGGCCTGACGCACCAAGGAGCCTTTTGGAATGGGCTTCCTCACCACTTGTGGCAGTTGGGCCTCCAACTGGACAGCTGGCTGTGTCTCTGGCATCTCCCCTATTTTCAGGGAGCAGCAAATTCACCCCCTTGTCAATTACAATTCAAACAGAACAGGAGGCAAAAGTGTCTTCAGGACCCTTCCCACCTGCTTCCCCAGCTCCCTGTGAGGGTTTCCTTCCTGAAACACACTTCTGTTGAGTCCACCACCCAAGCCACACTCATGCTGCTGCGAACGACATTACGTGTACACAACCCCACACATGACGTCCTGCAACCCACAACCCTGCCAGAGAGCCCTGCCCACACTGCGTGGTGCAGCTGCTGAAGCATGTGCTCCATTATCTGCCTGAGTTTATGGCAAGTGCTAAAGATGGGATGGGGGTGCTTAAAATGGAGAACAGTCCACCTATTCAATTATTTCCTGAAAACTTAGGAAAGGCCATGCCAGTTCAAATTATAAATCAGCCTCATTAGCACAACCTGAAGCAAATACAGGAATCTGTACCTCTCAGCCTGCCACCCTGACAAGGAGTAGGTTAATCTTTACACCACACATGTAGCAGCTGAATGCCAAAGGGGTGGACGGGAGCAAATCCCACCACTACGCACACGGACAGGTCTGTGTGGCCCTCTGTGGCCTGGAAGCTTCTCTGGAAACTGGTGTTCTGCTGGTCAGCAGCTGACCCTGAGAACTCTGCTCTGCTGGGCGCAGCCAGGAGGGAGGAAGCAGGCCAGGGAGAGCACATGCGCCTCTGTGACCCTCCCAAGCCCCAGGGCAGAGGGAGGAGGCAGCCCAGGATGGGGAACCGAGGCACCAGGAGACGACAAGGTGCAGAGAAGGAGTGAGGAGTTCTGTCTGGGAGGCACCGGGAGCCTGTGAGCAAAACACACAGGAGATGCTGGGAGGTGCTGTGCTCAGAGCCCAGCCCAGGATGCAGGTGAGGAAAAGGGGTGGTGGCCAGAGGCTCCCAGTGGCCTGGCTCTGACTGAGCAAGGCTGGGGAAAGCAGCAGCCAGGAGCTCAGTGACCAGCGGCCCATTGCAGGTGCAGGCAGCCGGCACAGGGAGACAGTGGGCGCCAGGCCCCACGCTGCCTGAGACAGCTGCAGGCGCTCAGCCCATCTGAGCCTTGGCTCCTCATTTGTGAGACGGGATGGGGATGGTACCCGGGAGGAGCAGCCCAGAGAAGAGGCTCAATACGGCACCTGGCATACATCATTTGGAGCCCACACTGGCCTCAGAGCCTGACATCTGACAGAGGAAAGTCGAACCCCAGGAAGCTGCCCAGAAAATGGGTGAAATCCAGACAAAAGCACCCAACCAAGGGCAAAGAATGAGAAGGGACTGTGAGGGGTCACATGTCAAGTGAGTGACCAGCACCAGATGCTCATTAGCACAGGAACCCTGCAGCTTTTTAACATGCACAGTTTGTCAGCATTTCCTGCGTTCAAGTCTCATGCTAGCATTGGGACAAAACAACAGGTGAGAGACACCACAGGTGGACAGTCCAGAGACATGTCCTGACCTGGGAAGACAGCTTGGGGGCCATCAGAAGATCTAGCTCCCCTTGGGATTGCACTGAGGGCAGAAACCAACTTCTAGCCTGGTGAGAGGAGACACGGGGTGTGTCCAGGGAGAAACCGAGAAACCCTAGGGCCAGGGGACAAGGTGAGCTGTGGCCTGTCCCCGGGTCTCTGCTGTGGGCCATGTGCACTGGTACATGGAGGCACGGGCACACTGTGTTCTCCCTCACGGGCACAGCAGGCACCGTTTGGTCCCACAAACATGGAACTAACTGCGGGCCTCAGACCTTCACAGTGGACCTCGATGCCTGCCCAGCTTTGCCCACACATGCCTAATTGCCTCACTACTCCTACCCACAAACCCCCCACCCACCCACAGCCTGGGCTCAAAGGATGTGAGCATCCTGTACTCAGCAGCTCCAACACTGACCCCCCAAAGAACAGATGGGAGAGAGGGAGTCATGCCCACTCAAGTCTTCTAGGACGTGGGCACCTCTACTGAGGCACATTTCCTATCAGCTTGTGAAGATTTGTGGGAGCCAAGGCACACAGGACCTTCACCACCCTCAGTGAAGTGGGCCTGGCCCACACACGAGACACCCCTTGGGCTCCAGCACGCTGCCTTGGAGCCACCACGGACCCACCTGCCCAGGGGCCCACCACCCCAGAACAGAGTCAGATCTGGCAGTGCACTCAGAGTGGTAGCTTCCCACACGAAGCTCGCACCGCCTTCCAGCTTTCACAACTCACGCCCCATGCCGCTTGTGCTCTGCAGAGTAATCCGCCAGCAGATGGCCCAGGTGGAACCTCTATGCAAACTGATCTGTCTAGAAGAGAGCACAGACCCCTCCCCTAAAACCACTGCAGTGTATTAAGAAAAAAGGATCTCAAACCTCCTGAGAGGAAGGTTCCAGATCTACAGAGACCCACAAGCACAGCACACATCAGCATTACCAGAGCTAAGAACCCGTGTGGGCTCCCACAGGTGCTGGCATGTTGTCACATATGGCTCATCCCTGCTTCAGGTGCCAGTGCTAGAAAAGGCCATCTTGATGACTCACATGTTTGTGAAACTGGGGAGGGTGACGTGCACTCACCTACCTGTTTGAGGAACAAGCCAGACAAGACTTCAACGTGCATAAACTCTGGTTGGCCCAAGGAGGGGGTTGGTCGCACCCTTCTCTGGGTGGGGACCTCCCTGCCACAGGTCATCTGCTACCTGTCAGATGAACCATGCAAGTACAGGCCAGAAACAAAAGCCTGGAAACATGCTGAGAACTTTGAACAGGGGGAAAAAAAATACATACATGTCCTCTGTAAAAGGATCAGAAATAAAAAACTCAACGTTACAACAAAGTCACATGATGCCAAATCCTGAGAACCAGTTGCTCCTGACAGTCTTCCTTAGGAAGGCATCACTTCAGATCCACTAACTTCACCCCAATAAAGCACACTGGCCCCTGGGGTCAGAGCTGATGCCCTGACCACAAAGACCTATTCCTCACGCTGCGCATGTCCAAACCTCGAGGACCCTTAGACCCGAGCATGGTGCCCTGCCTCCTCCACTTGATGCTGCAGGGACCTGTGAGCGTGCCCTGGCCTGACGCACCAAGGAGCCTTTTGGAATGGGCTTCCTCACCACTTGTGGCAGTTGGGCCTCCAACTGGACAGCTGGCTGTGTCTCTGGCATCTCCCCTTATCTCGGGCAGGTCTCTGTGTTTTACTCAATACTGGCCCTGCTTCAGCCAACATGTCGTAGGAAGTGTGGCAATGCACAGCGATGTGACACAGGATGGCGGGCAGGTCCTAGCTCTCCAGCTAGCGGCACTGTGCCCCTGAGCACTCCCTGCGAGGCTGGAGCACCTGATGGTGAAGCTGAGCTTACTCTTGGAAGCACAAATCCATACCGGGAAAACACTGCCGCCCCTTAATGAAGCCCAAGCCCTCTCCCGCTCGCCCCCACTCTTCCGAACACGCACTGCCAGCCTCCCAGGGGCAGGGCTCCAGGAGGCAGTGCTGCCACTGAACAGCAACTCCACTGCCCACTGCCTTGGTCAGGAAGGACTCCTCTGACGGTCACTGCCAAGTGCCACTGCGGTGGCAACGGCTGGTGAAGGCGCAGGCTAAAGCCACAGCGGAGGCCCTGCCCCCCACACCCCGGGGAGCCCGGCACATTTCCTCCCTCCCTGAGAAATGAACACAGGGCCGCCCCTCTCCTGCCCTGCGAGCCGTCCCCCCTAAGCCAGCGCTGGGAGCACGTGCTTCCCAAAGGGCCTGGCACAAATCTGGCACGGCAGCCAACTGCTGAGGCTGGACCAGGTAACGCAGCAGCCTGACAAATCCTAGGATGAAAGGGTCGAAAACCAGCGTCCACGCGCTCAGCTGCCCGGAGGCAAGCGAGCCAGCAAAGAGGAATGCTCAGAGCAGTCAGAGCGGACAGGAGTGGAGGGGCAGAGGAGGGGAGCACAGACGTGAGAAGGCAGCGCCCGCGCGAGACACTGGCCCCGGAGCCCGGGAGGTCCCTGGAGAGACCGTACGCGGCCTGCCCACGCGCAGAGGCCCTGCTCCCCCTAAGCAAGCATCCCAGGGGCCTGGACCAGGGCCCCCAGCGCGGAGGGGCACCGGCCACGCTGCTTCACTGGCCGCGTTCACTGTGTCCTCACGCAAGTACGTAAATCGGGGGGCGCTCGAACGAGCGCTGGAGACGCCTGCCTGCCGCTGTCCCCCACGCAACGACCGCCGTTGCGGGGCGTTTGGCGACCGCCACACAAACGCCAGCAGAAGGTGCCGAGAGCGCCTCAGGGGGACCGCCTGCCCCCGAGAGCCGCGGGGTCACGTGTGCCTGACACACGGTCACGCACGCCCGGCTGCGCGGACGGACCGGGGGCTCCCGGGCGACGCCGCGGCTCCGCTGAGCCCCGGCCTCCGGGAAGCCCACGCTGAGCCGGGGCGCGCGGTCGGCCTCGGGCTCGGCGTCGGGGAGGCGCGTCGCGGCCGCGCTTACCGTTGCTGTAGGCGTACGGGGACTCGGCCGCGCCGTCCTGCAGGCTCTCCAGGATCTCGCCCTTGCCCACGTCGCTGTCGCCCACCAGCAGGAACTTGAGCAGGTAGTCGTAGCTCTTGACCGGGCTGCCCTGGGTCCCCATCCTCTCACGTGCGCGCAGGCCGCGCCCGCATGCCCACGGCGGGGACGAGGCCTCCGACCGACCTGCGGGCCGGGCCGGGGCGCGGTGAGCGGGCGGCGGGGCAGGTCAGCCAGGCCCGCCGCCCCCGCCCCGCCCTGCCTCAGCGACCGCTGCCCGCCCCTGCCCTGCCGCCCTCGCCTTGCTCGTTGCTCCAGCGGCCACCGCCGCCCGCACCTGCTCTGACGCCCCCGCCTCACCTCAGCAGCAGCCGCCGCCGCCGCCCCGCCGCTCCGCCGCTTCCCGCACGGCGCCGCGTACCCCGCCGCCCCGCCCCCGGCCCGCGCGCCGCCATTGGCCGTCCACCACCCCCTTTCCCGCGACCATTGGTCCACACACGCGTCCATCACGATCGTCCTCCTCCCCCACCCCACCTTTTCCCACACAGAGCCGCGACGCCTCCGGTCGCCCAACCTCTAAGCCGTCGCTATTGGTAGTTCGCCACCGCATCCCCCGCCTTCCCACGACTATTGAACCGTGGGCACGCCAGTCAGCCGCACTCCCGCCCCCGCCGCTACCCGCGGAGCATCCCAGAGTTCTCAGCAACCCCGCCCACTGCCCGCCGCAACACCTCGGCCTTCCCAGTCTCCATTGGCCACCGCTGCTGATCCTCCTAGAGCCACTGGACTGCCCTCACGTCAATCAAAGCCCTCTAAGCCCGCCTCTCTCGTTCTCGCTTTCGCCCCCTATACACTCACCAATCAGGAGCTTGGAACTACAGGTTGTTTGCATACGCCCCCTTCCTTCTCTCGGACAGAGGTAGAATGGTGGCGGTCCCCGGGGTGAGGCCGGGCCTGTGGTCAGTAAAGCTTCTAGCTGCGACCGCTGCTTCCGCCGAGACCCCAAATACGGCGGCGACGCTCGATGGAACTGTGCTTTCGGAAGCCGCCCTCCCCGCGGCGGAGGTGTGACCTGAGCGTGACAGGACGAGGATAGCCAATCGGCGCCCTAGGAGGCGGGACTTCCGCTCTCGGTGGGGGGCGGAGTGTCCCTGCAGCCAGTCAGAAAGGACTGCTGACGGGGGGGCGGGGGCGAGCTGCAGTCCCACCTGGCCCTGCGTGCCAGCCTGTCGCCCTGGGCAAAGTCTCTGGGCCACAGCGTGGCTGTGAAGACCCGAGCTTCTAGAACCGCAGCGCCAGAGAGGTTGGCAGCACAGGCTGTGAGCCACGAGTGACCTGGCTCCGCGCCCGAGTGCTCTTGGCCGCAGGTGGGGCCCCACGGCCCAGGGCGTGGGGCACTGAGGCTTGACCAGGGAGGCCTCCTGGAGAAAGTGACTTCGGGTTGTTTACAGGGTGGATGGGTTATTTTTTCTAATGGGCAGAGAAGTATGAAAAACCTACGATTTCACTCGGCAAAGTGGAAATTAAATCAAAGTAATAACCCTTTTCACCCATGAGATTGGTAGCATTGCTTGAGGGCCAGGATGTGGGGAACAACTCTGTTAGAGTGACAAGCTAGTAATATAGTGTCATTTAGCCTGGAGAAGTAATTAGATACGCGTAGCCTCACGTCAGGTGTAATGATGGTGAAAGTCAGAAACGGATGGGAGCTACTGAATCCACCACGGTCATCACCCTTAAATAGTGAGAAGAGGAGAAAGCAAACGTTAGGCACTGTATCCAGTATAATCTCAATATTTAGGCTTTAAAAAAAAAAGCACGTCATTCTAGATTTACATATAGAGACACATGCATATAGAGTAAGGTCTGGAAGGGAGCTCACCAGAGGGGCAGCATTATTTCTCCTGGAGTTGAGGATCAGGAGTGACTTAAAATAATTGACATTTTTTATAAAAACATATTCACATATGACATGTAACTGATGATGAATAACTGGAAAAGTTAAGCATAACCATCCCATACAGGGTAGCAACTCCTTTTCTAGAGAAATGGAAACATACATCCACATAAAAAGTTGTATATGAATGTTCATAGCAGCATTATTGCAATAGCCAAAAGGTGGAACCAACCCAGACGTCCATCAGTAGGTCAATGGGTAAACAAAATAGAGTCCATCCACACAATGGGTATGTTCATCCATGAAAATGAAGTGCTGATACACAGTACGCTCCACTTAGCATGAAATGTCCAGAATGGACAAATCCCTATACAGAAAGATTAGTGGTCACCATGGGAAACGGTGAGTGCTTAACGGGTTCCCATTTGGGGTGATAAAAATATTCTAAAACTGGTGGTTGTACTACTTGGTAAAGTTACCAAAACTCAATATTGTGCCCTTGAGATGGGTGAACTGTGGGATAAGTAAAATGTGCCTCAATAAAGCTGCTCTTAAAAATAATAAATCCAAAGAATGTGTTTTCAAAGCTGAGCCAAGCACAACCCTAACCAGACAAGGTCCTGAGTGCTGTGTGCTCGAGAAAGGGCCCCCTGGAAGTCAGAGCAAGAGCTTCCCTCCCAAGGGGCCACAGGGCACCGGGTAGTCTTCAGAGAGTAGGCCTCTGTATGGTGGCACCCCGTGAAGTGACCCCCACCCCCAAACTGCAGGCAGCCTTGACAGGGCGAACACGCCTCATGGATTTCATGTTAGTGTAGTGCCTGGGGAGGCTTATGGAGCAGCGAGGCCTCTCGGGTGGGCCTTCCTCTGAGGAAGCAGGGATCAGGCCAAGGCTGGCCGGGGATGGGCAGGGCCGCTCGCAATCCGCAAAGGAACCTGATGGTCTTGCTTGCGCATTTTCTCAGGCCATGTCCTTGGCCATTTCCTGGACGCTGGGTCACAGCAGAAGCAGCCTCAGCAGTTGGGCAGGGGACCAAGTCCCCACAGGTGCCAGGGAGCGAGCATGGCTGGGTACAGTGCAAGGGAACCAGCGGCCAGCATCTACCCACCCTAGCCCCTTGAGCTGGCAGGCCGGGAAAGGCCCTTGGGGGTTGCAGGCCAGGCTTCTCCTGCAGAGGCCGCTGCACCCAGCCTTGATCCTGCTCCCGGCCTGGCTCTGCACACTCCCTGTTGGAGTCACCAAGGCCCCTCTGCAGAGGGGTGGTCCTTGGTTTCTGGGGCTGCCAGGAAGGGATGGTGGGTGAGGAGCTGTTATCATCTGCCCTTGCAGAGAATTAAAAGGTCCCTTTCACCTTTCAGGACTTCCTCACGGGGTCCAGCTGCTGTGGGCCCCACTGCCTGGTTCTTTACGGCCCGGGACAGTGAGGAGCACACACTTAGTGCTCAGCAGCATGTTCTCCAACCGGGCCTTCCCCAGCACAGCCTGCGGAGCAGGCGCAGCTGGATCCCAGGTCGGGGATCTGCCCATGGGGTGTGATGCAGTGTCTGTCTTCCCAATCTCTGCTCCCCATCAACCTCCCAGCCTCAGAGCAGGAACCCATGCAGCCTAGGGCAATGGGGACCAGTCGAAAGTGCCATTCCCTGGTGTCCAAGAGGCCTTCTGGATGGAGGAGCTGGCCTCCCATGCAACCACAAGGACATCCTGGGGCCACTAGGTGCCAGGCCTCTGGGGACTGAAGAAGGGACAGGACAGCATCTCTGCCACTGAGGGACCCAGGCCAAAGACAAACTAGCCCGGAACTGCCCTCTGCTCCCAAGCCCTGGGCCAGCCCTGCTGAGGCACCCATCCATTGGTGATCAGGGGTGATTCTGGGCCTCCCCTCGGGGGTGGGAGGTGCCTGGTGAAGACCATCGCCCCTTGACTCCCCTCCAGCTCCCACACCCGGTGGCTCTGCTGCAGGTGCTACAGGGAACGAGCCCGCTCTGGCCCCGCCCTCCAGCCCTGTGCTGTGCTCACATACATGGGTGACCTTCAGCCTTGCCAGATACACACTGAATGTTTTAGGAGTAAAATTAGGAGCAACAGATGATCAAATGGTTCACAAAAATAGAGTGTGAATGTGACAGAGCAAATGTGGCCAAGTGTCAGTGGTAGGGCCCCACTAAAGGGTGTTGGGGAGCATGGTGTGTTACCTGTTTCTGTTAAGTTTGAAATTATGTCAAAAAAAGGAAGTTTTCAAAAGCAGGAGGGAGCTATTGGGTAGCGAGCTGTGAGGCTGGGACCTGCCTGATGTGTGGCCTTGACAAGTCACTGTCTCTCTCTCTGAGCCCATCCCTGGGGCAGCCCAGAGAACCCGACCAGAAAAGGAAATGTCCGGGTCTTGGTGGCTTAATGGTCAGCCTTCAACCTGCAGCCAAGGCTCCGGCCAGGTCAGTGTGGTAGGGCAGTCAGAGCCCTTGGGGTGGGGACAAGGGGCGCACTGGTGAAGGCTGTCCCTGGCAGGGGCTGTGCCAGTCCAGGGGAGGAAGGGAGGACGGGAGGCCCTATGAGGTGCAGTGGCATCTCTTGGTGGCTGCAAGTGGCTAGAGTGACCGGTGTGCCTGGTGCCAGGGCAGGAGATGTGTGGCCAGAGAGAGCCTCCCCAGACCCACCAGTGCCCATGTGGCAGTGGGCAGGCAAAAGGGTACACTGCAAGCAGGTGGGAGGCTTTATTGTCACAGAATAAAACGGTAGAGCCAGGGCCCATCCCACCCCAGGGGGGACCCCAGTGAGCCTCCGCTGAGGCCTGGGGCCAAGAGCATGCGTGGGGAGGCGGCCTTCCCAGCTCCAAGGCGCCAGGCCGCCGTCCCCAGCCTCCTCCCCTGCAGACGCTGGGGCACCAGCCCACACTCTGCCCCAGCGGCAGGCGCAGCCCGGGTGGCCTCTCACCGCCTCCAGCTGCTCCCTGAGGGGCCCATGAAGAGGGGAGGAATTGCCTGCAGGACTCGGGCAGGAGCAGGGCAGGGGGGCAGTGCCCACTCTCCAGCACCCAGCCCTCTGCGTGGCCTGGCTTCACTCTGGCCACCCCACAGCCTGCGGGTGGCTTCTCCTGCACAGCCATCTCCAGGGAGCGTCAGCAAGTAGCCCTGTGCAGTTTGGGGTGTGAGCAATTGGCTCACTCACTGGGCTCCGGCTTGTGCTGGGGGTCAGCTGGCTGCTGCTCCGTGGGGGCAGCTGGAAGGACCCACTCGGCTCCCAGGAGTGCCCCCTACAGAAACCCCCAAGGGAGGAAGTGCTTGGGGTCAGAGTCTCACGGACTGTTGAGTGCATCCGGGAATGGTTCCCTCCACCCCAAGACAGGATGCAGCCCCAGGGAGCAGCCAGATACCTGACAGCTTACCCCCCTGGGAAAGAGGTTCTGCAAACCCCTCTCAAGGTCTGGGTGTGGCAGGAGAGGCAGAGTGGGGTTCCTGGGCAGACTTGGGGGGTTAATGCCATCACAACAGACTGGGAGGTGGGTCCCAAGGCAAGCAGGGCTGGAGAGGGAGCACCGGCCACCTGGCCTGGCTGGCCGCCCCTGCACGCTGATCACTGCCCCTCGACCTCAGAGTGGGTCAGGCAGGGCCCTGGCAGGGTCCTCAGAGACCCCAGACAACAAGGGGCAGGGAAGGCAAAGGGCTGTCCCCATAGTCAACACCACCCTGGTGGGGTGGAGGGCTGACTGTGGCATGTGGTGGCTGCTGTAGGGCAGGCCAGTGGCCAGGGTCCCTCACTCCTGCTTGTCCCCTCTCTGCCTCCAGGGGTAGATGAGCTCCCCAAAGAACAGCTTGCGGCACAGGGAGCCCCAGGAGTGCTTGGGGTGGCAGCCACAGCTGGGGAGGCGGTAGGTGTGCACCACGCGACCATAGGGCAGGGGGTTTATCTGGAAACACAAGGGCAGTGGGGCTGAGCTCTGGGCCAGGTGGACATCGTGGGGGGCTCCTGGGCTGGACGCTTGAGGGGCAGGGCCAGCTGCCCACTCTGCCTGACGAGTTCTCCTGGTGGGGGCGAGGCAGGCAGCAGGAGGCAGGGCACAGACTCCACTGCAGGACTCACTGGCTTACAGGAGCCTCCTCAGGCGGAACGCACTGTGCCCCCATAAAACCACACTGGCACTGGCTGGTCACCCTGCAGCCCCCCCTGCTGCCCACCTGCAGGCTGGGGCCCCAAGACTGTTTCAGATGAAGGAGTCCAACCGCAACTGCCCTTGGGAGCCCCCGTCAGCCCTGCCGGGCTCCCTGCCTGCCCACCACCCTGGGCCTGGAGGCCCCACATGCAGGGCAGCCCCACAGGGCCTGCTCCCTGCTGCCCCAGAACATGGGCAGCATCATGTGTGTGTGTGGGGTCTGTCCCAGGCAGCAGCATGAGGGCTGCAGAGGCATTACCTGCATCAGGAGGCGGAGGGGTCTGCCAGCCTCACGGCCCAGGACTTGGAACTTCACGCCAGCTGCCAGGAGAGCGAGATGCCCGTGAGGGAGACCCACCAGTCCTGCTGCGCCGGCAGGCACAGGCGGGCGGAGGGCCTCTGACAGCGATGGCACCTCGGTCTCTGTGTGGCAGCCCGCCTCAGAACTGGCTGCCTGGCTGGCAGCGAAGGCCCTGTTGAACTTCACTGGCAGGCAGCAAAGAGCCGGCTGGGTACTGGGGCAGTGGCTCTGCTGCTGTGCAGATGGGACGCAGCTTTTCCCACAGAGCTGAGAGAGCACCTGCTGCCAGGGAGCCCCCTTCTGGCATCCCAATGTCTTTCGACTTTGTGTGCAGCCGACCTGGACCCACCCCACCACAAGCCTGGACATTCCCAAGGCGGAGTGTTCTTGAGAGGACTGGGAGCTGATCATCAGTTGAGGAAGAGGCCAAGAATGGTGTTAGAATGAGGGCGGCAGCATGGGTCCCAGGCTCTCCACTGGCCTGGCATCCTGAGGTGGCTGGGGGCTGGCGAGGTGACTGTGGGCAGCCCTGCAGGTGGGCCCCTGGCTTGGACCACCTGGGGGGTCTGTGGGGAAAGATGTCTTGGGAAGCAGGTTTGAGGATGCTGAGCAGGCCGACTGGGTCTGCAGCCAGTGGAACGTGTGTGTCACATCCTCTGGCTCCAGCCTGGAGGGGAACAGCAGCCACGACTCTGGCATGTGGCTCAAGCTGCCCCACGGCACACTGGGTGCAGGGCCTCCTGGGTGTGTGGCACTTTGGGGCTGCGTGGACATGTGCTGGAGGGGCCATGTCAGGAACTCCCCAGGGTCCCTGTATGCCTGTATGTCTACAGCCCTGAACCCGATGGGCCGACCCACACCCCTGGGGGCAGACAGGGCACCCTCCCAGGGCCTGCAGTGGGCACACCTGGCCAAACAGTGTTTGGTATGAGCTTGCAAATGGGCTGCCACCCACAGAGGATGCCAGGGCAGCCTGGATGGGGTGCTGCTCTGGCAGGCAGTGGCCTGCAGCTGTCGGGGGGCAGATGCTCCTGCCAGACTGGCCTGGCCCCTCCACAGCCTCGGGCACCAGCAGGCAAACAGCTCCGCATGGCCACACAGGTCACGGTCTCTCTGAGCCATGTTCAGGTGCCACCTGCCCCACTGCAGATGGGCCTCGGGGCCAACTCTCACACAGCCGGTCCACCGGACACCCAGGACCAGGGTGCCCACCCCCAACCCCCAGCAGGCAGGAGGCGCACACAGTGCTGGGCAGGGCCCATGGGGACACGCCCACCTGCCCAGCAAGAGGCCTACCTGCGAGCCTGTAGGGCCGGCAGAGCCGGAGGCCGAGCGAGTACAGCGGCAGGGAGTTGATGAGGTCCACAAGCAGATGGGTCAGGCCCTGCACTGCGATCACCAGGAGCCGGAGCTGTCGTACGGGCAGCACTCAGGGCTGAGCGGGTGGCCGGGGCCCCACCAGCATGCCCACGGGCAGAGCAGCCCAACGGGTCCTGGGCCGCGAGGGAGGGCAGCCAGGGCCCAAGCACCCTGAGGAGGGCACGGAGCCCACCCTGACCGCGAGGCCCAAGCACAAGGAGGCGGGAGCGGCAGTGGAGGCAGCCGCACCCGCAGCTCAGAGACAGTGCGCCGGCCCCTCGGCCAGCCTTCTGCACGCCCCCCTCTGTCCGCGCCCACCCCCGCCCTGCGCCAGGCACTAAGAGGAGACCGCCACCTTGACCTGCCCACCAGGGCTCCTGCCCTCCCTGCACTCGGCTGCACATCCCAGCGCAGGGGTGGTACACCTGGGCAGCACCCCTACCCATCCCAGGAGCCAGCCCACACTGCCCAGAGAGTCTGGAACAGCCACCCACATGGCCTGCACGGGTAGCCAGCTTGCCCGCGGCTGCCCAGATGGCGAGCAGAGCTGACAGTGACCGCTCCAGCCACCAAGGGCAAGGCTGACTGCCAGGTGCCCTGCCCAGCAGCCCCCGTGGTGTGAGGCTCTCGGCTCACCAGGGTGAACACCAGGTAGTACAGGGCCGTCGTGGGCAGGAGGAAGACCAGGATGGTGAAGAGCAGAGTCCCGATGAACAGCTGCGGGGGGAACGGACACCGGCGTCGGAGAGAGCCCCAGGCCAGGGCGCGGCCCCGCCACACTGCTTCCAGCAGGCCTCCATTGGCTCTGGAAGGGGTGGTCTGTGTGCCCGCCAGCCTCAGGGACACATGGGGACACTGGTGGAGGAGACGGCCCCAGCCGGCAGGGTGTGCAGTCACACACACCCTACCATGACAGGCGGGCTGTGAGAATCAGGCAGGAAAACACACACCCTGGCGACAGCACGCAGGGTCCACACGTCAGGCCTGCAGAAGCTAAAAGAACAAGCCAGAGCCAGTCCGTGACCGGGGCACCTCCAGGCCCACTGTCCTGCAGCTCCCCTTGGGCCCAGAGCTATGTGCCCCCTTCCCTGCACAGGCTCCCCACGTCCCCCAGGGTCGGTACCAACCCAGGTGCCGGCAGGCTGCAGGACAGGAGCACGGCTGCCCCTCAGAGAGCCCGAGTAGACACACTGGCCGGGCCCACGTGGAGGCCGCTGTACTGGAGCTGGGGGGTGGGACCAGGCTGCCCCGGCCCCACGGGCCTGCTCCGCACCTGGTCCAGGTCATAGGAGCAGGAGTCCACCCGCTGGCGCAGAACGTTCCACTTCTTGCCCCGGAACAGGCGCCAGAGTGAAGACAGGCCACAGACCTTGAGGCAGTACAGCCTGCAAGACGGAGGCACGTGAGGGCTGGGCTGGGGCTCCGGGCCCCCACCACTGCCCACGGAGAAGCGGGGCCGAGGTGCCCAGGGCCGCAGGGCTGTGCGCACCCACCTGGCGCCGTAGACGTAGAAGCAGTAGATGTGGAAGGTGAGGAGGGCGGTGATGTCCGACAGGATGGACAGGGCGACCGTCAGGCCCAGGCAGGCCGAGAGGCCTATGTGCCACAGGATGCGCTCAACGAAGGGGGACATGAGGTGGATGTAGCCTGGCAGGATGGAGGTCAGCTGCAGAGGGGGCGCCTCGGGAGGTCCCAGCCCCCACAAGTCCCCACTGAGGAGGGCACCTGAGGCTTCTCGAAACTGTGGTGACAGAGCGTGCCCCTGGCTGCCCCTTAGCCAGCAGGGCCCCGCACAGGTGGGGCACCAGGAATCCAGAGGTAGAGACCAAGGGGTGGGGCCTAGCCTAGGCCCCACTGCCCTGCTCGGCCAGGGCTTGTGTTCCTGGGGGATCGCGGGGCCAGGGAAGCCTGCCCACTGGCACTCACCGATCCACAAGTGCGTGTGGTAGAGGAAGAAGCGGCCCAGCACCTGGTCCAGCGCCGGGTTCATCTTGAGCCCAGCGGGTGCCCCCATCAGCCACTGCAGCAGATGCTGGAGGCCCTCGGCCACACGCTGTGAGGACACAGGAGGGGCACACTGTCCACACACAGCGCCCCACCCTGGCTAGTGCGTCTGGGCAGGACAAAGGCCGCCACCCTCCTTCCCCCAGGTGTCTGGACAGCCGTCTCCTAACGGGACGGCACACAGGGCTTGCCCCCCTTGTCTGGCCACAGAACCCCTCTGCACAGACGCTGTAGGATTCATGCTGAGAGGATGACCTCTGAGGCCGGCTCTGCCCCTGGCCCACTGGACATGCAGCCCCTGATGGGCGTTAACCTAGAGGAGGTGGCCTTTCCTCCATCTTACCACTCTGGCTGCAGTGCCCATGGGAGCCCTCCACCCCGGATGCCCAGACAGACAGACTCCGGTTCACTGTGAACCTTGGTGGGGGAGCCTGTGGGCACCATCCGGTCCTCCTCTGCCGAGGACCCCACCCCACCCCACCCCACCCCACCCCACCACCTGTCATGTTAAAGACCCAGGCCTGCCCTAGGTGGGTGACCTCAGGTGAGCATGAGAGTGTTGAGCCCCTCAGGGACCCAGGTAGCAGGTGGGAGGGCTAAACAGTCCCCCAGAAGGAAAGACAGATGGGACTCAAGAGTCAAGAACGTCATGTGAAGGCCAGAGGTGGCATGGGGCCCTCGTGAGCAACCGAGGAAGCTGCACTGCGTCCTAGCCGGAAGGCAGGCCCTGAGGGCCCTCAGTCTCTTCACCAGTGCCGAGGCCACAGGAGTGACGTCCCTGTACCACGGTCAGAGGCCTGCCACCCCTCCTGCCCACTGTACAGGCCCTCCCGACCCAGCATGAAGGCCTTAACCATGTCAGGCGCAGTGCATAGGAACAGAACATTCTTTATAAATAGAGCTTATTTAATATTTAAAGGGTAAGAGCTTGGTAGCAGAAAAAGGCTTTCATTTTTAAATTAAATATTTATATTTCTGAGCAATTTTGCAAAAAGGAGGCCTAGGAGGACGCGGCCCCAAGGCAGAGCAGGGCGGGCAAGATGAAGCCGCTGAGCGCCTTGCCAGCCCCGCCGCCTTCTCCTGGGACCTGGCCTCCCTGGGAAGCCAGGCGGGCTCTTGGCCTGTGATGGCTCATGCCTGATAGTGTCCCAGCCTGGCCACAAGCAGGCCCAGTGGACACCTGTGGCTGGACGCTGGTGGCGACAGGCCTAGGCTGAGCCCACAAGGACCACCCAGCCAGGTCTCCGGACTGGCGGCCCCTGGCATGGGCCTGGGGGTGGCCCAAGGGGCCAGAAAGACTACTCTCACAGGAAGACAAGCCCCCAACAAAAGCGACAGGACCTCTGGCTGTGAGGAGGGGAAGCAGAGGAGTGCAAGGCCGGGGGCCAGGACGGAATGCAGCGGGTGGACACCGGGCCGGCGGCCAAGGGCCCCCAGCGTGAGACTCGGCAGCAGCACTGGGAGCAGTGTGACTGCACAGGGACAGCCCCGGATGCACGCTGATTGGGCAGAGAGCCCGAGCAGAACACCTGCCACCCTGGAGACAGGACAGCAGAGACGATGCACGTGGTGGGGCAAGTGGGACTCTGCAACACCAGGCCTGGGGGGCGAGGTGGGCTCCTCCTAAAGCCTCAACCACAGGGCGGCTCCCAGACGTGGCCACCTTTGGGAAGTGAAGGTGGAGGCCAGGAGCTGGAAGGTGACCTAGTGCGGGTGGGTGGGCTCCGGCTGGACCCCAGGGACCCTGTGAGACACGACAACTCCTAGGGACCTGTCTGGGCCTGGGGACAAGGGCTGTTCTCTACAGGCCTGAAAGGGAAGGGAAGGAGAGGAGCCTCTGCCACCTCCAGGAAGGGCCCCACCCCAACCAACTCACATCAGCTACGGGGACAAGGGCATCGGCCAGCTGCCCGATGCGGTCCGTCCCATGGAGCCAGGACAGCAGCGCCAGACCAAGGGCCATGTCAAGTAGCAGGGATGCAAGCACGTTTGCCTTCCTGGAAGGAGGGGTCCAATGGGAGTGACTGGTGAGGACGGCCGGGAGGAAAGACTTGGTGCGGAGGACGGGTGGGGAAGGGGCCGGGCAGGCCCGCACCTCATCAGCTGGCCAGGGCCGTCAGCCTTCTGGGCACTGCAGACGAGGGTGAGCTGCTCCAGCCGGTGCCTGAGCTGCTCGCAAGTGTGGAGCTTGCTCCAGATGAAGGACAGCGGCCACAGCCTGAAGACCCTGAAAGAAGCGGAGAAAGGCGGACCTGCAGTCCCTCCTGGGCTTCTCACGCCTGCCAGGGAGCACGAGCCGCCCGGGCAGTCACCAGTCCCCTCACTGTGCAGAGGAACGGCCAGGCCAGGCCAGGCTCAGCCCGAGGCCCTGGTGGCCCCACACCCTGGTGGGCACACTGCTGGATTCAGCAGGGAAGGGACAGAGATGGGCCACCCAGCGGGAGTCGTGGTGTGCTCACAGCCGTTAACTGGGAACTAACCCTAACGTCCTCACAGAGCTCCAACCCCGGGCACACCCAAAGCCGATTACCGAGATGGCGCCCTGGGAGCGGAGGCCACGAGCCGCCCCGCCACCCAACACCTTTCCTTGCCACGGCCCTTGCCAAGGGCCTCTGGGCTGGCCCGACACCTCACAAGGAAGAGGGATGACCCAAACACCCGTGGACATCCGCTCTCGAGGGGAGATGCTTACAAGCAAAGGTTAACAAGTGGACACGGAAAAAGAGCAAAGGCGAAATGGGCCCAGAGCCCCATTTCCATCCAGAGCCTCGGCCGGCAGGGGCCCCTAGAGGGCTCGTCAAAGCCAGGGCCCCAGACAGCCGAGTGAGTGCTTGGACCTCCGGGGGAGGCCTCACTGAGACCCAGAGGCTCTGGACCGACCCAAGAAGGAAGGCAGCCTGCCGACCCTGCCCCTGAGTTGGGTCAGGAAAGGCAGTCGGCCTCCCACTGGCTGCAGAGACCCCCCAGGGCACAGCAGCCTCTCCAAGGCTCAGACCAGCCCTGGGCAGCCTGGCCCTGGAATCCCTGGGGCTGCCTGGAGGTGGAGGGGGCTCTGCTCCCGCACAATGACAGCCACGTGTCACACGTCTGACACAGAGCTCCTAACCACCAGTCAGTGACCAACACCTGCCTGAAGGGCTTATCAGAGTTTGGGGCACACAAGCAGTTAACATTTCTCAGGTTCCTTGAAAGCTGATGAAAGCTAAGGAACTTCTCTTTCTTAAAATTGCCCCTAGGCCCAGACACACACCTTCACACCATTCATTCTGAGGGAGTCATGAAGCTCTGAAAGCCACGCCTCACGTCAAGACCCCTGACAGCACCCCCCACCCCAGCAGCCCAGGCTCTGCCAGGATGGGCTGAGCGCTCTGCAGCCGCTCGTGAGCAGGAAGGCCAGTCCTCCACCTGATAGCCTGGGCCCCGGGCCCTGAAGGGGCCCTGAGGGTGTACCACAGCTGCTCCTGGGGTGTGTCACCAGGGATGCTGGCCCCTGCAGCCCATCCTAGGAACTGCTGGCCAGCCAGAAACACCCTGGTGCTGCCCCAGCATCTCCCAAGGCCCTAGGGGACTCTTACAAATCCTTGGCTAGGCCTGCAGCCAAGAGTATTCTAGTGACAGCAGACAGCAGCCAGACTAGGACAGCTGTCTCAGGCCCACAGCTGTCAACAGGTGAATGCTGCCTGTACGCCTCCTGGGCCACCCGTCTGGCCAGCACCGGGGCCAGGGAGGCGGGTGGGTCCGCGGGCCTTCGGGATGAACTACTCCCAGGTGGAGTGATTCCGGCCCTCAGGCCCCACAACCCAGGTCTGTTCATCATGACTTCCTCTCCAGGGGCCTGAACCTTCTGACATTCTCCCCATAACTTACCCAGCAGGTCCCAAGCAACCACTGGGGCTGCTGGGAAGCCTGGGGCTGCCTGAGGAGCATGGGACACAAAAACAGCAGCCACCACCAGGGCATCCTCTGAGATACCAAGGAATGAAGCATGACATGAGAGCCAGGCCACAGGGCCATGAGCTTCACAAGGGCCCATCTGGGCCCCCACAGCCCCGACACCAGGACTGGGCCCAGGGCACCTACCGGCAGGCACTGGCACTAGAGATGAGTGACAGCAGGAAGGCCAGCAGCAGACAGACGGGCCCTGAGGCCCACTTGGCCAGCTCCACGAGGATGCTGGCCTCCACACCTTCCGACTGCCAGTGGCTCAGCCGCACGGGGCCCTCGCCGAACCGGTCCCTCCGGAAGAGTGCCTCGCTGCGTGCCACCGTGTCAAAGATGGCAGCCAGGCCCCCCCCGGCACCGGCCATGGCATCCCCAGCCTGGAGGTTCGGAGGGGCCACGGGCAGGTGCAGCTGTGAGAGCAGCACCTGGCGCTGGTCATAGAGGATGAGCACGACCTGGTCCTCACCGGGGGCACCAGGTGAGGTGGGCACCTGCCAGCGGGTGCCCTTGCAGCTCCACAACTTGCTGCTCCTCTCCCGGCACAGCTGGAGCCAGGGCTCATGGAAGAAGATGGCACTTAGACCCTCCTTGAAGTGGCCCAGGCTCTCCTTGGGCTCCTGCCGGTGGTGGCACCAGGTGCCCAGCACAGCCACCCCAACCTGGCTGGCCTGTTGCACCTGGGCCAAGAGCTCCTTGACCTGGATGGGGATGAAGGGAAAGTGCACCACAGCCAGGACCACGGCGCTGCTCTGCTCTGGGAACCACCGTCCAACCAGCAGGCCACTGTCCACCGAGGCACAGCATGTGGGGAAGAAGGCCTTGAGCACCATGTCAGGGACACTGGAAGAGAGGGGAAGAGGCTGAGTGCAGAGCTGTCACCATGGCACCTCCATGACCCAGAGTGGCTGGCAGGGCTGGGGTTGCAGGCCTTGGCCACATGTGGTACAGAGGACCCTGACAGGCACAGCCACAAGGCCACCAGGCCCCTGGAGGTATGTGTATGCTCCAGCTCTGGCTGGTTATGAGGCTAGGGGAGCCCTGCTGCCCATCTCTCATGGCTCTGCCCCCTGCCCGCACCTGGGCTGCTATGAGCACAGGCCCTCGCCACCCCACCTCCCCAGACAGATCAATGCTGCCCCCCATTTCAGAGCCAGGCAGGCATGAACAGGCCAGGTTTTGTGACTTTCTTGGTACCACTCACAAGGGAGGTTGGGGCTGAACACGAGGGCTTAATTTTTGTTTTTAAAGAAACTGATTAGTGTTTTATGTGTAGCCAGTGGAAAAATGTACAATCTCATGAACAATTAATGTAATGCACATTACAACTCTAACAAACCTTGATTTACTTACTAAGCTGGCAAGAATAAAGATGGAAATTTAAATAAAATACTGCCTGGCTGAAGGAAACCAGGTGCATGCACACTGTTGGAGCTGTGGGCACTGGTGCAGGTGCCCTGGAGATGCCTGGGGATGTGTGCCTGTGCCCCCAGCCCACCCCCACCCAGTGAGGCCCAGGAGCCTCTCTGCTTGGGGAACAGGCACAGTTCCCATGGCTTCAGCCTGTAGGTGCACCACCGTCCCCTGGAAGCCCCAGCTGTCAGTCGGGCTGTCTGCTTGCCACTTCAGGGCAAGGCTCTGGCCAGGGAGTGTTTCCTCTGGTCATGGCTTAGCGCCTCCTCCAGAACATAGTCCTCCAATGGGGTGGCCATCTAGAAATGGGGGTGGGAGTTCACTGACCCTGGAAGGCAGGGTGGACCCCTCTCTCAAGCTGAGGGCACGCCTCCTTCCTGGCACCTACTACCTTCCCAGGGCCTCTGAGCAGCAAAAGCGGCCCCAAGCCATTGGACCCCTGAATTCTGTGGGCCCCTGCACTATGACTTGCCTGGAAGTAAGTTCGCTGGGGGTGCAGGTTTCTCAGCAAGCACTTGAGCACCTCCCAGATGGGCCTGGCGGGCAGCAGGCCCCCACCCACCATGGTGCTGAGGGCCTTCGCCTTGGAGCCTGCCCTTTCTCAGACACATGGCCCCTACCCGATCAGCACAAAGGGCAGCACAGCTGCCTGAGCTAAGAGCCTGGAGGTGGAGCCCACACTTGGGGGGGACACAGGCCTTGAATTGAGCCTGGCCCTCTGGGCCCAGGGCTCACCAGGCTCTCAGGAACTGAGAGACATACACACACTGCTGGAGTGCAGCATTGTGGGGGGTGCAGGGAGCCTTTCCTGAGGTCAGGGGCTCTGGGAAGAGCCGCACAGACAAAAAAGCCCAAGCCTGAGGGGCTGCCTGCAGACAGCCCAGACAGCGGCTGGAGGGTTGAGGCCCCTCACCTGTGGGGTCCACCCGAAGCAGGTTCCTCAGAGTCGAGCCACAGCGGGACTCCCACACACCCTGGAAGGCAGGTGCCAGCAGGGGAAAGCCTGGAGCCCAACAGTAGCCCCAGGCCAAGGCCCTGTAGTCATTATCAAGGGCATCAGTGGCCGGCTTTTCCTGACCCGGGGCAGAGGCTGTGCTCCTGACAGAGGCATTGTGAGAAGCATGGAGAAAGGCTGTCTTGGAGGTACCACCACAGGCGACCAGCCAGCACGGTCCAAGCCTCACATGCCAGCCTGTGTGGCACCAGTTCAACGAAATGACGCCACCACACTCTGCTTGTAAGAGGGGCCTCCTTTCAGAGAAGCTGGGAATGCTACTCATGGCTACAGTTGGAAAAGAAACACCACTTGGCGTAACAGTGAACAGACGCTCTAGGGGAAGCTGGTCACACTGTGTTCACTTTGGGAAAATTCATCGAGTTGTACACACACGACTCGTGCACTTGCTTTGAGTACAGTATGCTTCATCTACAAAGTTTACCTAAAAAAAAAAAAAAAGCAGCAGCCACTCACGTCCAAGAAAGAGGAGCAGAGGGCAGAACTCTGCTCTCTGACCCGCGGGGCAGGAGGGCCCCTACAGACACGGGGTGAACGCCCACCCCGCCCCCACCTCGGCCTCTGGGGGCGACCGACACAAAGGAGTCCGCAGAGATCCCACAGCCAGACAGAGCTGAAGGAGCAGGAAATCAACAGCAGAGACGCAGAAGGGAGGAAGCAGCGCGGCAACGAGGGCAACGTGCACATCTTGAAAGAATGATCAAAAAAAACCAGCAGCGGCACTTGCCTGGAAAAGCCTCCTCTACCAAGAATGACACAAAAATCCCTTGGGAAACGGCCAGGTAAGGAGGTCTCTGGCCGCCCCTCCCCGCAGAACCTCGGGTCAAACCGATGCCCGGCCGGGGGCACCTCCCCGGCTGAAAACCGCCTCGCCGCTGCTCGCTGAAAGCCCGAGGGATTTCATTGTACCCCATGTCGTTTTTCTTGTGTTTGGCTTGTACCCTCTCATTTCGGAAGAATGGACGTGAATCTAGGCCTGTTTCTCGCCGAGGCTGGGGCGGGTCGGAGGGATGCAGCCGGGGTGCGGCACCCACGGCGCCGGGCCGGCCGCTCCCCGAGGGCGCTCGCTCCCGCCCAGGCCGCAGGCCCGCCCTGGCCGCCGGCAGCGCCCCACTTCGCGGAGGAGGAGACCGAGGCTCTGCGTGGCAAGGGGGCTGCGCCGGCACCCGGGGAGCCTCCGGGGCCCTCCGCTCGCTCGCCGGCGCCAGGTCCTGCCCGGTTCGGGGAGGGCGGCTCCCCAAGGTCACACCGCACGGACGCCGGCGCCACCCCCACCCCCCCGCCCAGTGCTCACCGGCGGCTCCCGGAGGCCGCGCCCTCGGGCGGCGGGGTAGGAATGGGGCTGCGGACCGCGCCCGGCGCGCCCGGACGGACGGCAGTAACCCCGGAGCACAGCCCCGCCGCGGCCGAGCCGCGGGACACAAGCCCCATTTCCGCCGGCTCCCGCGTTGCCGCGCAACGGTCCGCTCACCAAAGGCGCCCGGGCTGCCCGCCGGCCCCGCCCGAGCGTTCCGCGCATACAACATTCCCGTTCCTGGAGCCGGTGGGTTTGAGGCATCCTTGACCCCGAGTCCTTGTCCCCTCACAGCGTCCCTGTGTTCCCAGCATCCTTGTCCTCCCAGCATCCCTGTCCCGTCAGCGTCCCTGTTCCCCCAGAGTCCTTATCCCTCCCAGCATCCTAGTCCCCTTGAGTGTCCTTGTCCTGCCAGTGTCCTTGTCCACCCTCCAGTCCATGCACAGCATTTTCAGCATCCCCGTCCTCCTCTCACCCACCTTCCCACAGCCAGACCTCCCCTATCCCCAGTCTTCTCCTCGGAGACCTTTCAGGGTCCCCAGCCTCACCCTGCCCCACCCCTCCCAGGCCAAAAGAACCCCAGGCCCTGCTAGGGCTCCAAAAGGAGCAGCCTCCCCAGCCCGGGCTGGCTCCTGCACACACTGGTCTCTGCAGAGGGGTGCCCCCAGTCCTCCAGGGCCAGATGGGCTGGGAAGATGGGGCCCCTGAGGGCCAGTCCAGAGGCGGCACCCATCTGATCTGATGGTCAGGAGGCATCCCTGGCCCCTCTGCTCCAGGGAACGGCACCCGAACACCAGCAGCAACAAGCAGCATTTATTGAGCACCTGCTGTATGTGCTCCCTCACATTGACCCATTTAACCCCCAACCCACAGGGGCTGGACATATGGAGGGGCCTCTGTTGGAGGCAATGACCTAAACCAGACCCAGTGTCCTGGTGACAGTATTTCCTTGCCAGCCGGCAGAGGCAGGACCAGGCAGTGTCCCCTCCAGCAGAAGACACCTCCCCGGAGCTGGGAGCCTGGCTGGGCCCCTGACGCAGAGTAAGCAGCACCGCGCTGCCAAGCCAGGCCTCAGTTCCCTGCTGTTTCAGCAGGTGTCTGCCACGGGAAAGCTCTCCTGGACTTGACCACCACCCGGAACCCCTCACCCGGCACCCCCATCCACGAACCTGTTGCTGTTTGGTCCCTGTTGGTTGAGGACAAACTGAAGGCTCAGCTGGCCCATGAACATGGTCTCACACAGGAGGAGGGGACCAGGGGCACGGGAGCTCCCCAGCCAGCCGTGTGCCACCCTAGGGCACCTCCAGGGCAGCCTCCTCTGCTTCCCCTTACTTCAGCTGGGCCCAGAGGAGCTGCAAGAGGCTCAGCACCTGGCATCTCTGAGGATGGGGTGTTCATGGGGCCACTCCCCTGCCCAGGCCACCCAGCCCAGCAGCACCCTCCTGCCTGCCTCTGTCTGATTAAGAGACTGGGGCTGGGCACCTGGCAGGAGATCCTGCCTGGGGAAGTGCTGGCAGCGGGCCTAACACCTAAGATCTCTAGGCTTCAGCGGCTGGGCCCAGAGCTCAGGCCCCCTGGGCCTCAAACCAGTACAGCCAGAGCCACAGTGAACACAGGGCCTCTGAGCCCAAATTTACAGGCTTCGAACCTCAAAGGGGAGGCTGAGAGGCAGCTGGTTTTGTGGCTGCCCACAAAGTCTGAATCCTTCCCAAGCGAAAGACAGGAGGCCAGGGCCAGGCTCGGCAGGCGCTCAGCAAGCAAGCAGGGCCAGGAAGGCATGGCCGGCAGCCATGAAGGGTCCCAGCAACCCTGACTGTCCCTCCTGTGGTGGGTGGCTGGTCCGCCCAGGCCCTGGACCCTGCTCACAGTGAGGAGGCTCCTCCTATCCAAGCCCCCTGGCTCAGGCCAGCTCTGAGAGATCCTGGTACTCCTTGAAGCCACCATCCCCTGCATCTGCCACCACAAGCTGGCTTCCCCAGCCCCTCGGACACCAGGCAGACAGCCACCCCAGCGTGGGGAAGCAGAGTCACCTGGTGCCGCTGCTCATCTGCCGGTCACACTGCCCTTAGTGTCCGTGCACACGCCTGCGGGGCTGCCAAAGGTGTGCCCTGTCAGGCCTCCCAGGGAGCCCAGGGACTGGTGGGCACTACAAACAGCTGCACAGCCCCAAACTCCTCACTCACGGCAAGGCCCCTATCAGGTCCCAGGCCAAACCAGCAGGGACCCTCCAGACCCAGCACGGACGTCGGGGCCAGGGGCTCAAGGCAGGGCCCAGGGTGAAGCCGTGTACAACCCCAGCCACATAATCCATCACCAGGAGGCGGCCAAGGGCATCCACAGCCAGCCCCCAAGGGGCCAGAAAGGTGCCCACTGTCACCCAGCAGCCTTGGGGGACTTGGGCAGTGTGCTGGAGCCCACGGACAGCCCCATGGACAAGGTCACTGACCACAACAAGCCCGGCAGCTATCACAGCCGTGTCCTCTAGTGTGGACACCCCAGCTCCTGGCATGTAGCGGGGCAGTTGGCAAATGGAGCACCCCTTGAGGTCCAGCACATGGACACAGGGTGCAGCCCCAGCCATCTGGAGAGCAGTGCAGGCCCCGGCCTGCCAACCCCAACCCATAGCTCCTGCTGCCACGGGGATCTGCCCAGGCAGCCAAGGCCTCCAGGAAGGACGGGGTCTCCAGGCGGACCCAGAGTGAGGCGCAGGTCCCGCGGGTCGGCTAGCCAGCTGGTGAGGGAGGTCCAGGAGGTCGGAGCAGGAAGCCAGATGGCAGGCAAGTGGGAGGGTCAGCGGTCAGCCTCTCTGAGCTGAGTTTCCATGGCTGGGCCAAGTTAGGGCTGCAAAAGAATTAATGCCACAGTGCATGCCAACAGTGGCCACTTGGCCCTTGTGCCTCCCAGGCAGGGCTGCTGCCCTGTGTTACAGATGAGGAATCAGGACAGGGTGGGTCGGGGGCTAGATTCAAACTCAGCTCTGCCAGGAATCCACCAGGTCCTGAGTGCAGGCCCAGCAGCCAGCCACACTCTGGGCACGGTCCCTGGGGCACAATCCTGGGGGACAGGTGGCCCAGGGAAGTTGTTGTGGGTTTTGCTCGGAGGCCCAAATGAGCTGCTCCTCCCCTCAGGCAGGGAAAGTGACCCTTCTTGGGGGCAGCCCGGGCTCCTGCCCATTGCCCCACATGGCCCCTGGAGACCAATGCCAAGCAGTAGGGCAGGTCCTTTCCTAGGTCTCTTCCTGCCCCCATCCTGGGAGGCCTGGCAGGAGGAGGTGGGCTCCTACCTGGGGCCAGGCTCCAAGGCCCTGCTCTCCAGGAAGCTTGTGTTGTTGCAAACTGGGGCCTGAGAGCATAGGAAGGGCCTCCTGGGGTGCTGGCCTGGGAGGAGGGGCAGCCCAGCTGCCCTGGAGCAGCCCTGGAAGCTCTAAGGAGTCAGGCCACATAGCTGCTACCCAAGGGACAGCCCAGGGCTGCCACACTGCTGCCTCTGGGCCCTTGCACAGGCCCCCGGGGCTCTCTCCTGGTTCCCCTTTGTGACTGGGCGTCACTGATGGCCAGCCCGACCGACCCCTCCCCTGGGAGGCACCCACCGCTGCCCACAATGGGCTTGCTGCTCGGAAGGCCCTCAGCAGACGTCTGGGCGCGAGGGGCCCCCAGCAGGACTTCAGGGGTAGAATCTTGGGGAAGGGGCTGCAGCCCCCACTGCTGGCTGGGCTGCCCACCGGCGCCCTCCCAGGGACCCATCCCAGGACTGCGCAGCTTCAGGCCTTTCTCACAGGTGAAGCCGGGCCAGGCTCCCATCTGCCAGGGGGCTGCAGACAAGTGGGGGTACAGGAGAAGGCCAAGGAGGGGCTGAGGACCCAAGCACAGGAGGGACACCTCCTGACTCAGCCCACAGCCCCCGCAGTCCCCCCAGCAAACCCCTGGAGGGTGAGGGGGCAGCCGCTGCCCACGACCCACAGTGCTTCCCACTGGCTGAGCCCAGGTCTGGATGCGGCTGCGTGATGCCCTGAGAGGCCAAGGTGCCCATACTCTCTCCTGCCCAACACAGCTAGCGGGCAGTGGCAGCTCCTGCTCCAGCTGGGCGCAGCCTGACTGGCCCAGCTTGGGGAGCCAAGTACCGGCAGAAACTGCCCTACCTGGGGCCATTCCTGGGTGGGCACCGAGGTGTGGCCGGCTCCTGGGGACAGAAGTGATCAGGCAGGCCCCGGGGCCCCCTGGGCAGCCCTCCTGCCTGTCCCTGGCTCGCCACCCCCGCCTACGGGAGAGGCCAGCCCAGCTGCACTGCGAGGGAGGCAGTGGGTTGTGAAGGCCGCCTGATGCCTATCGTGGCTACAGGGACTGGTGGGGGCCCAGCGGAGGCCATGCTGGGCAAGAGGCACTGGGTCAGCATGTGGGGGGCACCGTTTCACCACAGGGGAGCAGCCTCCACCATGAATCCAACATTAGGGCCACCCTGCCGGATGCAGGGTCTGGAGGCATGCCCGGGGGGCCCTCCCACCACCAGCACGCCTTCCCCCACCGCTGCCCCTGGGACAGAGGGCCCTCCACTCTGTCCCCAGACTCCAGCCCCTGTAGGTCCCCGTCTACAGGAGGCAGGTCAGGGTCTGAAGATGGATGCTTGGCAGGGAGGCTGGGGACACGCCTGTCCCAGGTGTCCAGGGGGAAGTGTCCTGGTGGTGACGCTGGAACAGCAATGGAAGGAGGCCCAGACGGGTGTGTGAAAGTGGTTTCTATTTTAATGTCCACAACTGTGATCAACAAGCAGCCGTGACCCTCTGCTGTCCCTGTGTGGCCTTGGTCATGGCAGGTGGGGTCCAGCCCGGGGACAGGCTCCAGGACTCCCCTCCACAACTGGGGTGGGTGGGGGCAGGCGATGGGTGTGGGACTGGAGAGAGGCCCGTCTGCTAAGGACAGGTGGCCGCCAGGACTGTGGTCAGACGTCAGCACCTGGGAGGCCCTACAGGCCGGGGACAGCCTCAGGGGGCCAGGGGCCCCCAGCCCCACCTCGGGTGCCCCAGCTGCTGCCGGGAATGATGGGGTCCTCTGGGGCCTGGAGGGGAAGGCCTGGGGGTGGGACACTGGAGTCAGCCTCGCACTTGGTGGCGCGACTAGAGAAAGCCTTGGCTGTGGGGCCCAGCATGCTGGGCGGCTCAGGGGTCCCCCGGACCAGTGTGCGGCCCAGCTCTGGCAGCCCCCAAGCCCCTGCGGGTCCCTTGGGCCCCTTGGTAGGTGCCCGTTTCACAGAGAGGTCGAGGGGAGCGTCTGGTGGCTGGACCGCCCGCTCCAGCGCCTGGTGGATGGTGAAGAGCTCTGCGCGGATCTTCCCCAGCCGCTCCCACAGAGGCCTCGGGGCCAGGCCTCCAGCAGGCGCCAGCCACCCCAGGTGCTGCTCCACCCTGGCATAGTCGCCAAGGGCCTGAGTCAGGTCCGTGCACACGTGCCCAGGGCCCCCCACTTCGAGGCCCAGTGGCTGCTGGGGTAGGGGGACCCTGGGGCCTGGGGTCTCGGGGTCGCCTGGCTCCTTGTCCTCAGGCCGGAGCATCACGGAGGGGCCAGTGTGCAGGCTAGAGGGTAGGAGGTGGTCAGGAGGCTGGGCTGCCGCCCAGTGCACCCAGCCCCTGCCCCACCCCACTCATGCTCCCTGTCCAGCCTGTCGCCCTGGACTGGGAGTGACCCCAGAAGGACAGACAGGCCGGCTCTCTGGTCTTGGTTCCGCTCTGTGGCCTGAAGCCCATGTTCCTGAGGACTGAGCTCAGGATGAGGCTCAGCCACCCTGCCCAAGCCCTCCTTCCCCCATCCCCCCAAGACTGGGGGCCCTGGCACGCACCTGCTCTGGGAACCAAGCTTCACCGTGCTGGAGGGGGCCCTCTGGGGCTCCAGCCTGCTTCCTAGGGGCAGCTTCCTCTCGGGGTCACTCTGGGCAGCCCGCTCCAGCTCCCCCTCCTGTCCTGGGTCCCCAGGGGCACCTTGGGGCCAGGGCCTGCCTAGGCCGGTTATGGGCACCTTCAGCAGCTCCGGGGCCAGAGTCTCAGGGGGCCCCTTAGGTGGAGCAGGGGGCTTGCTGGGCACAGCCCTGCCTGTCGCCAGCCCCAGAGTGTGTTCCAGGAGCAGGGGGTAGTACAGGTTGGGGACCAGGGTGGGGCGTTCAGGGGGCTGTGGGGCAGGGAAGGTAGTGGTGGGGGGCAGCAGGGGGCCTGCCGAGGCCAGGAAGGGCATGTGGGCTGCAGCAGCCAGGGAGGGCCCCAGGTAGGAGAAAAGCCCTGGGCTGAGAGGGTAGTTGATGCCCAGCAGGGACAGGTGAAGCCTCTGGGCCTCGGGGAGCTCGCTGGGTGCGGGTGGGGGGTAGCAGGGGATGCCACGCTCAGAGCCTGTTGCAGCTGCATCCACCACGGCCATGCACCTTGGGCCCCCGCCCGGCTCCGGCTTCCACGGCTCAGCCAGGAGCCTGCCAAGGCCTGCACCCTTCTGGGCATCCCTAGCTGCAGGGGGTGGCGTCCCCAGGGACCCCTCTGCCCCCACCCTAGGGCCTCTGACATGGTGGTGCAGGGAGAGGATGTCGGTGACGAGGTCGGGACTGGCGGGAGCATCTGGGAGCATCTGGGAGCTGCCGGGGTCCATGGGGCCTGAGGGGAGGCCTGGGGTGGGTGTGCGGGGCCCGGGCGCGGCCAGGGTGCGGCGGCGCGCCCAGGCGGGGGAGCCAAGCAGCAGCGAGAGCGAGTCCTCGCAGAGGCCGTACTTCATGTGGCTGTAGAGGTGGGACTTCTCCAGGCAGGTGAAGGGGCACTGGAAGCACTTGTAGTTGTAGGGCTTGCCCCAGGGCCTCGGGATGTAGTGCGGCTTCTTGGGCTTCCGAGCCCGGACCCGAGCCCCAGGGTCCCGGCGACACGAGGCTGCCTCACGGGACATGGCGGCTGCTGGCGGGCAGGCCCCTGCACCGTGGGCACCTGTGCACAGGGCACCTCGGTCAGCGCCGGCCGCCTCTGGGCTGGCTCCCCGCTCCCCTGGGCCCCCAGCAGCCCCAGCTCCAGGAGGCACTGGTGCCCGCACCGCCCGTGGACCTTGGCTGCCCCCTGCCTGCCACAGCCCCCACCTCAGCCTTCAGTCCCCCCCACTCATGCTTCTGGGGCTGCAGGAGAAGTGCAGGATGCCCAGCTAAATACGACTCGGGGAGACAGCAAACACTTGGGCTAGCCCATATTGGGAATATACACTAGAAAACTATTTGTTGTTTATTGAAATTTAGGTTTAACTGGGCATCCTGTACTTCATCGGTTGACCTCATGAGTGCCTGCACCCCAGGTCTGGCCAGCCTGCCGTGGGGTGAGTCCAAACAAGCCCACTGCGGGGTGCATGAGCCTCCCTTGTCTTATGCCCCTCTAGAGAGACTCGTGCCCATGCTGGGAGCCGAAGTAGGAGCCAGGAGATGAGGACTGGGCAGGAGGCTGAGTGGCTGGTCAACACCACATGGGGGGGCGCATGCGGGGTGTGCTCCTGCTCCAGGGTGCTGGGCGAGCACCAGAGGTCTCTGAGGGGGTCACCCTCACGTGGGGCTAGGCCAGGCCGGGAGGCGTGGGCATCGCAGCATGGCCCCGCAGCACGGCCACCTGCTCAGCCTGGCTCCATCTGGGTGGCCTCGGGCAGGTCGGCGGCCAAGCCTGCAGTGGCCGAGCTCAGACAAGACCCCCCTCTCCGCACACCCGCACACGCTCGCGGGAGCCACTCCACACTCCACCTGGGCCGCCACCTGGGCCACCCACAGCCCTGGTGAGCGCCTGTGTGCACGCGCAGCAAGTGTGCACACAAAGGCTTTGGATGTGTACCCACAGAGCACAGCAAGCTGTCACCTGGTGCCTGGGGGCGCAGTCCCCATACCATGGGCGACTCAGAATGGAGAAGGCTGCCCAGAAGATGCATGGGGCCCCAGGCACACACACACGTGGGCTCATGACCCACTTGGTGGGCACAGTCATTGTGCACATGAGCACAGGACAGCGGGGGTGTGAGCAAGTGCTCGGACCATCCAGGTGCAGTGCACACACACACACGCTACACACCTGACCACACGTGACCACAGACACTCACGGAGGAAGACACACACACACATACACTTGCCCTGCTCCCCAGTGGGTTGAGCAGGTCAAGGCTGGGCAGCCTCTGGGAGTAGCCATCCTCCCTGCTGGCCTTTGGTCTCTGCACACTGCAGGCAGTGATGTCTGCTGGCCCCAAACACTGGGTGGGCATCCCCATCATGGGGACAGCTAGAGGGGTGCAGAGGGCTGTCCTTTGGAAGGGCCCTTGGGTTGGGGGGCAGCAAGACCGGGGCCAGGGCATGCATGGGGCAGACAGAGGCTGACCAGCTGGTCTACAGCTGTCTGCAGCTCTGGAAGGGCCGCAGGGGCTTGGGGGAGGAGGCTGGTTCCAGGAGAGAGCCCGGGGCTCCCCAAAAAATAGAACAACCCCCAGGCTTGGTGGTGGGTGCAGAAGCAGTCCCCATCCCTGCCCCCCCCAATACAGATGACAAATGGGCACGTGTGCTCGGGAGACAGACGCGGCTGTGCTGGGGCCATCGATCACCCAGCCCTGGGAGCCACACAGCTGTGCTGCCTGGTGGCACCGCCCACCCCACCTCCCAGTCGGGCCCCCTGGACTGTGGGGGGGCGCTCCTCCTGGGCCCCACTTCAGATTGGTCACTGGGTGGGGAGCTCGTTTGGGGGCCCTCTCAGCAGCTGCTGACCCCACAGGGACCTAGAGGATGCGTGGCACCTGCCCTGCATGCCTGTGCACAGCCAGAGACACCCCCAGACGCCAGCATGCACCCCACACACCCAGAGGCATGTTCACGAACGCCCGTGTCCCAGACCGTGACTAAGTGAGCTCCAAGGGTGGCCTGCTCCCTGCAGGCTTCCAGACACCCGGGCTCTGCTGACCTTCCCCTGGGGGGGGTGGGGCAGGGGCATGCAGGCCACCCAGGGATGACAGCCTGCCTATCCCTGCGGGCTCCCTGGGGACTCGGGGGAACCTTGCACA